CAACTGTTGGACGCTGCAATGGAACATGGAAACAATTCTAGACCCCCCATATGAACATTCCAGGCCCCAGATGAAAGCACCAGCACACACACTTAAAGATCTAAACTTCTAAAAAACAACTTCATCCTGACAGGGATGCCCTAACCAAGATTGACCAAGCGGAAAATTGCCAGCAAGGAACACTATCACCGTCAGGTCCTCCTTGTGCTTTTTGGTCCAGGAGCGGTAAGTGACTCCGCGGTCGGCAAGGAACCTGCAGAAGTAATCCTGAAAGGTTATTCTCTCAGACAAAGGACGCGGCAAGCCTGTTCGTTTCTTCTTGGCCTTCTCACCAATCTGGTCTGAGGGAACCATGACACCATTAGGAACTGCATCTTTGTGTCCCAGCACTCTCCCTTGTCTGCCCTTCTCAACTACCTTGTCTGGTGTAAATGGCAATTCTGGATTGTTGCCGGTTGGACGTTGAGGTGTGATACTTTGCTGCCGCCTGGTCTGATTCTGCTGATTCTGCACTTTCCTGGGGTTCCAACGGTCCAGGTCAATGTGGCCTTGGCAGAAATGACCAAAAAGAGCTTGCCAGAAAGGGTCATATCTTACAGATAGCCAATACTCTTTCAGCTCTGCCCTGCGGTTTGCACAAATCAACAACACATCCTCTCGAGATGCAGCTTCAAGATTGGCATTCAGCAGGGCATTCTCTTCAAGGTCCATGAGCATCTCAACACCACAGTTGCCATCAGCTCCCACATCTTGGCAAACAATGCCGTTCTCAGCCCACAAATTACACTGCATCTCCAGCAAGTTGGAGTACTTTCGGCGAACACGGTCGATTTCAAACTGCAACGTAACTGCTTCGGCCTCATCATCGTTGTCGAGGAGGTATTTCTTACCATAGAGGTCTTCAAGCTTATCGTTCTCAGTCCTTTCGGTTTGCCTAAGCAAGCTTGTGAAGATATTCTGGAAATCCTTGGTATTGGAGATAACCCAGCCTGGAATCCAATGCAAGCACTGGGTTGGAGGCATTGTGTCTGCGAACGATGTATCACACAGAATGGCAACTTTTGTGATTTCATCATCTACTTCATCTCCAGCGGGCAGCGGCATATGCTCTGGCAGGATCTCCTCCAAGTAGGCTTGCAAGTCCAATAAATTCTTGTGTCCTTGCAGCCACCCAAAAGCCTTTGATATGTTCACCCTGTATCTTTGGTATGTTGACAAAACTTCTGTTATGTACCGCCCTGAAAACATGCGTTTTCAAAAAAAAGGTCTTTGCAGAAATATGGTCTCAAAAAAGCCGGTCTTTGCTGTGTTTGCTATATGTACACCCACAAAAACGTGCAAGAGTGTCCTTGGGACCACACAAGCATCTTCAAAGACATCTTCTTCTTGCAGCAAAAGAGAATGATATCTGCCAGTTCCAAAAAATGTTCCCGGAGTCGCCACCCGCTCCGCCCAGCAAGTCATTTGCTTGTCGATTGTCGGCACATCCTCACCTGTGGCGCCATGCAAAACAATGCGCTAACAGGACAAATTAGACAAATTAGATTGCCATTTCACCAACTTCCTGAAGCAAAAAGGTCCAATGCAATGGACCGTAATGACTCTATTCACGCACACCCTGTCTTCCCATGTCTTCCCAATATTGAATTGGCCTTCACTGCCAGCAGTCTCCACACCAGGGCCTTGCAATGGCTCAGAGCTCGCAAGGGCCATGAAGTCTGATGATCTTTAGAGTTCCAGCCTCCTCACAAGGTCTCAAGTGATATGATCCACTTCCAAACGATGGAAGAATGGCGATTCTCTCACATGACAACCATTGTAGACCTTCCCTACATCACTCT